GTCCAGAACTGAAGGAGGGGTCTGAGTTAGACCATGAGTCCTGGTCCAGAACTGAAGGAGTGGTCTGAGTTAGACCATGAGTCCTGGTCCAGAACCGAAGGACTGGTCTGAGTTAGACCATGAGTCCTGGTCCAGAACTGGTCTGAGGGAAACCTGCCTAATGTTGATGTTTGTGTTTTTAGGATCCAAAGAAGAAGGACTTCCTGGAGACCAGGCTGGATGTGGAGGTGCAGCAGGTGGTGGACAGGTAAACAGGTGCAGCAGGTGGAGGACAGGTAAACAGGTGCAGCAGGTAGAGGACAGGTAAACAGGTGCAGCAGGTGGAGGACAGGTAAACAGGTGCAGCAGGTGGAGGACAGGTAAACAGGTGCAGCAGGTAGAGGACAGGTAAACAGGTGCAGCAGGTGGAGGACAGGTAAACAGGTGCAACAGGTGGTGGACAGGTCAACAGGTGCAGCAGGTGGTGGACAGGTAAACAGGTGCAGCAGGTAGAGGACAGGTAAACTCACCTGTAGACAGGTCCAGGTGTGGTTCTGTCACTCAGGAGGTGTTTGTGCTCCTGCAGGATCGTGGAGGAGTTCAGTCTGAAATGCATCAAGCTCATCCTGAACGGGAGGACTCTGAGTGCCGGTGAGTCCAGACCTGACTCTGGGTCTGGTCCAGGATCCTGGTCCTGACTCTGGGTCTGGTCCAGAATCCTGGTCCTGACTCTGGGTCTGGTCCAGGATCCTGGTCCTGACTCTGGGTCTGGACCAGGGTCCTGAAGGTTTCTGTCCTGTCTCCTGTCAGACCAGACCCTGGCCCAGCAGGGAGTGAAGAACCACAGTAAGGTGATGGTTCTGAAGGTCAGCGACACGGAGCAGCTCAACAAGGAGCAGGAGAAGAAGAACCAGAGCGAGAGCCTCCAGAGGACCCAGAAGGGCTTCCAGATCCTGTCAGAGAGAGGTCAGATCCTGGATCTGAGAGACCCAACGGACCAAACCTCTACACTGTCTTTAGTTCAGGACTTTTATTGTGAAAATCTCTCTTCCTTTTAGACGGCAGTGAAGATCCAGAAACCACGCCGTTCCTGGAGATCGCAGACCAGAAGGGGAACCCTCTGAAGATCCCTCACAAGGAGAAGAAGGTGGGCGGAGTCTTCTGGGTTCTTGGTCTGCAGGTGGTTCAGGTTCTGATCTTTGGTTCTGTTCAGGCCCTGATCCTAGCCATGGGGTTCCATGAAAAGGGTCGCGCTCTGATGAAGAGGAGGCAGTACGACGAGGCTCTGTGTCACCTGCTGCAGGCCGACCAGCAGTTCAGGTAAAACACACCGGAGAGGGGTCTGCATCCTTTCACAATAAAAGCTCCCACAGTTGTTGAAGTGATGAACGCTTGTGTTCATGTGAGCAGTAAGTGTGGCTCRGCGCTGCTCGGCTCCGTGGACAACTACGCCGTCCTGCAGCTGGACATCGTGTGGTGCTACCGGGCCCTGGAGGCCCTGTCCTGCCTGGAGGACGGGCGGAGCCGCCTGCAGACAGCCGAGGAGTGTTTCCTGAAGTGCTACGGAGAGCAGCAGCAGAGGCTGCTCATGATCAAGGTGAGACAAACATCTGGACCAGAACTGTGGGACCAGTCCTGAGCCAACAGGAACTGAATCTGAATGCATTGGTTTGAAAATAAATTTCACTAAATTAAAAACAGAATTTAAAGTTTTGTATCTGAATTAAT